GTGGGCATGAGCTCACTCACTCTGCAAGATTCCCTTTGGCACTTATATGCTGATCTGTTTTCATGTTGTACTCCCCCAGGAGAATGTAGATCCTTGGAGGGCAGGCTCTGATTTTCATTTTGTGTCTGAGAAGCATCTACACAGGGCTGTATGCTTGGTTGGTGTTTAATAAATGCCTTTTTGATGTGGCCGTGGCTTAGGGACGGATTACATCCTCCTGGGCAACAACCTGCAATTCCAGTAATGCCGCAAGGTGTCTGTGGCACATTAGCCATGGTCACCTTTGTTCATTTCAAGGATGGCCCCACTCCCCGTTGTTGGTAAGATTTCTTTTTTTCTTTTCCTTTTTTTTTAAAATTAATAAATTTATTTTTAGTTTTCAACATCTACGTTCCAAATTTTCACCCCATCTCGCCCCTCCCCCCATAAGATATCTAAGGGAAGAAAATGTTTCCACACTTGAACATGTGTGGGAACTCTTTATTAAAATAATTTTCTGATCTGCAGAAGAAACCATTGTCATCCTGCTGATCACAGCGTTAGTGATGGGAGAAGCACTGATGAGAGGTAGCAGGTGTAGTGGGTAGAGCAGAGAGCTGCCTTAGACGTGTAAGGGCTGTGTGAACCTGGGTGAATCACTTGTCCTCAGGCTCAAATGATATTTAATTTAATTCAACAAACATTTAAGTGCATCCTGTGTATGGAACACTGGTTTTTTGTTTTTTTTTTGGTCAGTCAGGAAGCAGATATTGAACCCACTTGGTGTCAGGCTCTATGCTAAGTTCTGGAGAAACAAAGGAAGGCAACAACCAAACCAAACCAAAACCTACTTCCAGCCCTTAAGGAACTCACGTTCTAACTGAGAAAAAAACATTTAAACAACTGTGTACACAGAAGATGTCTACAGAGGAGCTGGAAGGAAACTCGGAGGGAAGATGCTAGCAATGAGGGCACCAAGAAAGGCCTGTGGAAGAGGAATTTTAGATGATTTTTTTATTTAAAAATTTTATTCAATAAACAAGCATTTATTTTGTCTTCCTTCCACCTCCTCTCCCTGCCCCCTCCCTGGGGAAAAAACCCAAACCAAACTAAACCCTCATAACAGCTATGAACAGTCAAGAAAAACAAATCCCTACATTGGCCGTGCTGAAGAATGTGTGTTTCATTCTACACCCCGAAGCCTTCCCTCTCTCAGTAGGTGGGCAGCATTCTTTGTCAACAAGTCCCTGGAGTCATGGTTATCTGTGCATGGCCGTTAAGGGCCACGATTGCTTAAGCCCATGGCCTTATCCTTATTATTGAGACTCTGGGGGGCAACGGTGGATATGACTTGGGACCACTCCAGCGTGTAAGAGGACGGGAGCATCATCAGTAGTAGTAGTAGTAAACAGCTACTCTCAAAGACTGAGAGTTTTGAGCTGACCAGTTGTCAGAAAGACAGCTACATCATGACGGGTATGTGGCCTCCTGATCCGATGCTGGCCTCCTGGCTTGAAATGCTGTAATTACAATTATCTTTGCATTGGATTTTGGCTCTGGAAGAAATCCTGAAACTTACCTTGCCTGGTCATCTTGTCAATGCTTGCATAACGCTCATGGTTCAGACCTTGTCTCCTTCTTCTTAGAAATTTACTCAACTATTTCTTTACTAATTTTTTGGGTACTGTACAGAAGCAGAAGGTCATAATTAGATTGTGAGCTCCTCCAGAACAGAGACTATCTTTTACCTTTCTTTGTATCCTCAGTGCGTAGCACATAGTAGGTGCTTAATTGTTTATCAAGACATTGCAGACTCGAATGAGTCCTGTTGCTTTTAGATTTAATTAGCATTCTCAAAACCAACATTATTAAAGAGTGCCCTTCCAACTTGGTACTTCCTTCTATGACTTTTTAGGTTATCTGGGGTATAGAACTGAAAGTGACCATAGGGTCATACAATTGAAAACCCTCATTTTTTTCACAGGAAGAAACTGAGTCCTCAGGAGATGAAATATTAAGAAGGAAAGCCTCGGATTGACAGAATTCAGACACGGGATCCTCAGAGCCTCTGGCCAAAATCTCTTTGACCTAAGAAGGCAAGGTTCAGGCTCCTCCTCACCACCACCAATCCCAGACAAACAAGGCTTCCTCATCATGCATATCCAGTTGGTTGCCAGATTGCTACCTCCAGAACATCTCTCCTGTCTGATCTGCTGTCTCTACTCATGCAGCCATCACTTTTGGGATCTGTCATTTCTCATCTCAATCATTTCAATAACCTAACACTTCTCCGTGCCACAGGTCACTCCCTACTACAATCCATCCCCGCTGCTGCCAACGGGATTTTCCTCAAGCATAAATCTGCTGATGTCACTTCCTTAATAAACTCTAGTGGCCTCCTATTGGCTCTAGTATCCAGTATTAACTCTTCCATTTCACTTTGAAAGCCCTTCACGACTTGGCCTCATATCGCCTTTTCAGCTTCTCTGGACGTTACTCTCCCTCTCACGGAGTGATGCGTCCAAATTGGTCTTTCACTGGCCATCTCTAGGGCTTCACACCTACCTCACAGAATCCTCTTTCTTCAAGAGGTTGAGCAAGCACCACCTTTTACACGAAGCCTTTGCTGATCCCCACAGTTTCTAGTGCCCTGCCTTCCCAACCTTCTTGAATTTAATCTCTTTATATTTATTCTGCATACATATGTACTTATTGTTTTCCCCAACACAGTGTAAGTCCCTTGAGAGTAGGGATAGTTTCATTCTTTGTAGTTGTAGCTGCAGCATTCAGTATAGTGCCTGACACATAGTTGGCTCTTAACAAATGCTTGTTGATTGATTTCTAATTAATTGAAGTCTCCACGTTCACCTTAGCATAGCCGTGTGGAACCGACCTCCTGGGTGCCAAACTCAATGTAGAGAAACACCAGCTCCTCACATGTGAGGAGGAGGATACGGAACACGAAGACTGTCACAAGTGAAGGAGATCCCCTGGAGGCATCAGATCCTCTGGGTTGGATCAAATGGAAACTCCTCTATTTGACATTCAAAGTCCTTGCCATGTGGTACCTGCCTCCCTTTCCAGGCCAACAATGCGTTACTCTCCTTCGTGCACTCTGGTCTGGTCTAGTCTGGCTGCCTTTCTTGCCATACTTCACACATGACCTTTGTGTAGGCTGTTCCCCACCTGTGGAATGCAATCCCTCCAAGTCTCTGCTTCTCACCATACTGGGTTTCCTTCAAAACTCATCTCCAGAATCACCTCCTAAACTAGGCTTTCCCTCACCCCATCAGCCACTAGCACCTCCTTGCTGCAAATGCTTCGTATTTGTTTCATTCATATTTTTCGTATACTTGCATGTGTAAATGTCTTCCTTCTAGAACGCAGTCTTTGTGAGGGCAGAGAATCTTCCTTTTTGTCATTGTATCCCCAGTGCCTAGCACTGAGCCTGGCACATAGTAAGCACCTAATAAAATGCTTGTTATTTGAGTTATCAAGTTGTAAACCTACGTTTGTGGTATAGTATATTTACTTTGGTGTTCCAGTTACTGATTGAGTCATTCTTAGGCCTGGAAAAGGTGGTGTTCAGAGGCTGACGGAGGCATTTCTGTGCTTCTGCCCTGTAGGCCTGTTCTCCTGTGTGTGTGGTGTGTGATAAAATGCCCTTGAATTCACTTGTGGTAACTGACATATAGAGTCATTTGTATAAGATATATAAGATTCTCACACTTCTCTGAGCTAAGTATGACAGTCATTATTCTCACTTTATATATGAGGAAACTGAAGCTCACAGACGTTAAATGACTTGCTCACAGTCACACAGATAGTATCCATCTGTGGCAGGATTTGAACCCAGTTTCTTTCTGACTATAACTTTAGCACTCTTTTTGCTATGCTCTATTCTAAGAATTCTATATGAGAATGACATGATGTTTCAGGCAAAGAGGTGGCACATTAGATAGAGCTCCAGGCCTGGAGTCAGGAAGACTCATTTTCTTGAGTTCAAATCCAGCCTCAGACACTTACTAGCTGTGTGACCCTGGGCAAGTCACTTAACTCTGGTTGCCTCAGTTTCCTCATCTGTAAAATGAGCTGGAGAAGAAAATGGCAAACCACTTAAGTATCTCTGCCAAGAAAACCTCAAAAGGGGTCACAAAGAGTCAGATACGACTGAACAACAACGTCTGAAGTTTATTTTTTTTTTAACATTTTACTTAATATTACATGGTCAATACTTGAGTGCCCCGTGACCATGTTGATTTAGGTACTTTTTCCCCAAAACAGATAGTGCTCTCTCCATGGCTTAATAGAGTGTCTTTTGGATTGCCGTGCCTGAAAGAATGATCGTGTTGTAGACCCTTTCTGAGCTTTGTCCCTCAGGCGAGCAGCATGTGGTTCCTGAAGCCTTGTTGCTTGGTAGGACCAGGCAGGCAGTGGGCTTTGCTGACATAACTTTAGATGGCTCAGGGTTATTTCTGGGCTCCACTGAGGAATCAGTGGAGCTCTTCAGTGAAGGATTTTTCTCTCTTATAATCCACATAATAACCCATTTCCTTTCTCATTTTCCTTGGTTCCTAAAGTAACAAAATAAATTATTTCAAATTTTTAAACACGTCTCCCCTTTTCTCTCAGTTTTTTGGTCATTCTGTAATTGACAAACAGCATCAGACATGAACATTTTCATATACAGAGAAGACTCTTCTTCTCTTCCTCCAAATGTATTTTGACATCTTGGTTAAAGGTTCCAAAGTTTAGCACTCTGAGCTTACCATTCTGAGTTCAGCCATCCTTTTCACTTGGGAGTCTTTCTCCTCTTGCTTCTCTTTTAGTCATATGTAATAGATGTATAAAAAACTACAGTCCCTCTTGGGACTGCTGTGAGAGGTTGCTTTTAGTGAAGCATCAAACTTCTTTCCAAAGAAGCACTTGGGTTTCATAGTCCAACCACATTTGCCCCTGTTTCTAGTTTGGGTTGTTATTTTAGGAAACCAGAAGCTCTATCATTTGCACATCCCTTATAGCTTTGACACCTTCAAACTGTCCTGTAATCTCAAGTCTTTCAAAAGACAGCCGAGGCAAGATGAAGAAATCTTTGCTCTTCTGTGGGCTTCTGGCCGGGCTTTGTGGGGCTATTCTTGTGACAGGTAGGTGCTTCTGGATGGTTTCCTTGGCCAACAAGCTAGCTAGCTCCATATTGCTAACATGCTTATGCTTTATATGCAGTGATTCTTATATCAGATATATGTATATATCTATATCCTGATCTTATAGATTTCATCTTGTGAAGGAGGTAGTTTAGAGAGATAACTATCATTTCATGGATTTCATAGGATTTCTATTTGGAAAGGACTTTGCATCTTACTGTTCTGTAAAGGAAAGCAGTTAGACTTGATGATCTGAAGACTTCTTTCAGCTTCAGATCCTAAACCTAGTTATCACAAAATTTAACACTATTTAGCACAATCCTTTATTTTAAATCAGAGCTTTTAAATAAAACACATAATTCACCAATATAATAACAATACATTATATCAATTAATATATTCATTGTAACAATATATTAATATCATATTTTTTTTACCATGGAACATAACATATTTATAACATAACAATAATATAATAATCATATATATGTGATTCTGTTAATCTTCTCCATGTATTTACTTGTCCATTGTAATCTAGAGAAGATGATTGTAACCAGTCTTTGATTCCAGGTAACTCTACAGGAATTCCCCTCCTTTAAAACTAAAGAAATCTCTATTTGGTTTCTTAGAAGTAGATAGTAACACATATGAATTTTCTAAATAGATTTTCTGGAAAATTAAGACAATATTTATTTCTTATTTACACAGATAGACTTAGTTACTTCTAAATTAATTTCTTTTTGTATTAGGTTGGGAGGTCCTTGAGAACAAGGATTGTCTTTGACTTTTCTTTGTACTTAGCATTCCTGGTCCATGGTAGGTGCTTAATAAATGTTCATTGACTGACTAATATTGAATAGGGGGTATGGGAGGGTTGTACAATAAGTCAAGGGGAATAGTATTAAATGATTTTTCCAGCAATGGAAAGGAATTATATCAAATAGAAATAATATCACTTACATATGATTAAATCCTTCCTAATACTAATCCTATTGATTTTATCTTGTGAAAGAAGTAGATTAGAGAGACAACTATAATTTCATGGATTTCATAGGATTTCTAGTTGGACAGGACCTTGGAAATCATTGTTTTTTACTCATCTATAAATGAAAGCAGTTAGACCTGATGATCTAGTAGGTCCCCATTAGCTTCAAATCTTATGACCTACAAAATTTGACACTCTTTAGCATAATCCTTTATTGTTATAAATCAAATATAAAAATGTTGATGGTAAGATGATTATCTCCTGGCTACTGTCTAAACAGAGAATATCTAAATAGAGAATAGTTTATTTTTTAAGCAAGTTCATTAAAGTTAGGCTCATGTAATCTGTTGCTAACTCTGATTATTTGTTTGAATTGAAATCTCTTTGGTTTGTGACAACAATTACTGCCAGTACTTGAGTTTCACAATTTTGGTGAACTGGAGTTCTCTTAAATTTCTTGCCAGTGACGCAGAGGCTCAGTTAGTGTCTTCAGATGACATTTGCCTTTAAGAGTCTCCCTTGAGCTAACACGATTATCCTTGTTATAATGGAACAACAAAAAGCATTTTCTAATTAATGAACTTTAAAAATAGCTCTCTGCACTGATAATAGTTATGAGATAAATAGTTTCAGAAAAATATTTAGGAGGAAAAAAAAGCAGGGAGTAAAGGAAATGACATAATTTTTAGATATTTTAGGAAAATCAAGGGTTGGGACCCATGATTTTGTCTGTGGAGAATTCCTAGTGTGGAGAACTCCCTCTGTGGATGCAAAGTGTCAATTTGTCTTGCCTGGGACCCTAAGTGGTTAAATTACTAGCCCAGGACCACAAAGCCAGGATGTACAGAGGGGACAGACCTCAAAGTCAGGTCTTCCTGACTTGAAGACTTCTCCTCTAACCATCATGTCAACCTGCCTCTTTCTGGGTCCTTCATTTTTTAGGTCATTATTCTGAATTAGTTTCATAAAATTTCTTCTCTTGAAATCAAGAAGATCTGAGTTCAAATCCATCCTCAGACATTTCCTAGCTGTATAATCTTGGGCAAACCACTTATTGCCTCTCAGCCTTGGTTTCTTCACCTGTAAAATGGGGAAAATAATATGACCTATCTCCCAAGGTTGTTGAGTGGATCAAATGAGATAATATATGTGAGATGCTTTGAATATCTTAAATAGCTATATGAATGCTAGGCATTATTTTTATATAAATTATGCTACATAGCCTTTTACCAGAAGATTTAATGTTTTAAATAATGACATCATAATGCAAATACTTCAAACATTTAGGCATTAGAGAACTAGATAAATATAAATAACAATTGTTTTTTAATATCACTGTCGATGTCACCAATGAACATTATCATAAAAAATGATTCACCAACAGACAAAATCCTTTCCTCCTCCCTGTCTTATGTCTCTTCCCCTTTCCCCCTCTTCTCTGAGCCTTTTGAGACAGGGCTATAGCCTCAGTCTCCTACACAGGGGTGGGTGTTTATTTTTACTGTTTCATCATTACTTCTAAAATTTACATGCTTAACCCTTTATCTTGTTAGTGGTAGGATAGGAGAATTTTTTTTCAGTATTAGAATACATATATAAAAAAACTAACTTAGTGGTCTTCTTCCAAATGTGCTTAGCTTATTAGTTACTCCCAGGAAATAGCATACTCACCTGGTATGACAATGTTTGTTACAGTATAACGGAATAATTTCATGCATATTTAAAAGGGTATGATAAACTTTCTATTAAATATACATACTTTTCCTAAAGCCACTCTGTCCCAGGATTTCAGATTAATAAAATAGCTAAAATATGAATATACAAAATTTCAAAATAATCTACCAAATTCTTCCAGTCTCTAAATTATTCCTTGGTGCTACTTTTAGGAGTCACAAGGACTCTTTTAGGCCACAAGAATCCATTTAGAATAGAACTTTATTTTTTTAAATTTTTTTAGAACAGGACTTTAGCGATCTAAGAGCCTAATGTGCATCCCAATGTAGACCTATTCAATAATTGAAAAAAAAAACTTCTGTGATTTCATAGATGTAGGTAACTCCCCCACCAACTCATATTCAAACCTTTCTGTGGCTTAGCGGTTAGGCTTCATGACTGAAAAACCCCTCACACCCTTCTGTTGATTTGTTAGTCAGTCAACAGGTATTTATTAAGTACTCACCATGTGCCAAGCACTGTGCTGAGCTTTAGTGATTAAAGAAATACAAAAAGAGTTCCTGTTCTCAAGATATTTTTGTTTTAATGGGGATTGTTCTGTTGTGTCCAGCTCTTCATGACCTCATTTGGGGTTTTCTTGGCAGAGATACTGGAGTGGTTTACTATTTCCTTCTCTAGCTCATTTTACAGATGAGGAAACTGAGGCAAACAGATGCAGTGACTTGCCCAGGATCACGTAGCTAGTAAGTGTGAGATTTGAACTGAGGAAGTTAAGACTCCAGGACCAATGCTCTATCCACTGCACCACCTAGCTGCCCTTCTAATGGGAGAGGCAATATGTATCTACATAAATACATACAGAATGAGAGACAGATTGATTTAACTAAGCTGGTCACACACACACTGCTGCCAGATCTATATCTGAAACTTTTCTGCTTGGTAGGACTTTTCAGGCTTTGCTGTCCTAGCCTTTAAGAATTATACCTATACCACAGTAGGACAGGACAGGAGGTAGACAAAACCAAGCAAAGCTTCTGAATATTTTAATCGGTATATTAACCCAGTGAACCATATGAGCAAATAGTTACTTTGCTCATGCCCAAGTCCTGAGTACACTCAGGACTCACTCTCCCATCCTTTTCTCCCCTGGCGTGTTGGGTCCGTTTAGGATTGTAGAGGACCCCTCTACCCTGAGGGGTGTGATTTTCTAGAACTATACATGACTTATAAGCTCCAACCATTTTGGTTCCCCCATCGATTATCAATTTATATCAATTAGCTAGCCAGAGTTTATTAGTATTTGGAAATGGGTTTTATTAAGTGGCATAGTAAGAACAGTTGGTACAAAGCAAATAATTTTACAGACAATAAGAAGCAAGGAAGAAACGTTGGATGTCTAGATTAATTTTGTTGACACTGATGGCACCCATTTCTTCAGGGCCACCTCAAAACAGTAGAGTAAGGGGGGCGGGAGTCAGTCCACTAATCCTATCATTTTGTCTGTAAGAAACTAAATAATTCATTAGACTGATTTTTCCCTCCACAGTAAGCTTGAAATTTGGGTATCATGTAAACATAGCCTTGATGTTTTATTAAAGACCAGCTCTCAAGGGAAGATACGAGTTGATGGAGAAATTAAAATGAGTGAAGAAATGTAATGTAGTAGTTGATGATATAGGAGGATAGATTGAAAGAACTGAACATTTTTAGCTTGAAGAAAAGAAGATTTGGGGGGAATTCCTCAAGGAATTTAGAGTCTGGTTGGGGAGACAAAACTAACACGTCTGAAGCAACTGAAAGGCAATTTAGATACTCACTTGTGAGATAATGACACCGGAGTTTACAGCAGGGAGAGATTAGTGTGGCCTGGAGTAGGCAGATAGTTTAATGGAGAAAGTGGGACTTCAGAGAATGCAGAGGATTTGGATGGAGGAGGGCTTCCAGATGACGGAGATAAACGCTGGGTGTGGGGAAGACTAGTAAGACCGGCTTCACTGGAGCAGAGGATTTGTGCTGGAAAATAGTGAGAGAAAAGCTTGGAAAGGTAGAGTGGGTTTTTGTTGATCTGGTGGGAAAAGCACTGGTTATCCAGCATTGAGCCCCGAGGGTTGCTTTTTTGACCAACTGAAAGCTACTACTGACAAACAGATGTTTGTGTGGCAGTGAGCTGATGAGATTCTCTTTGCTTTGCTTTACCTGGACCAAACCTAGGAGGATACTTCTGATTCTTGTTATTGTAGAGGACGCAGTTGCTTTTCTCCAAAATAATTCCTGGCACTCCCTACCCACCCTTGGTTTTCCTGCCCAGAAATATTTTATTTCATATGTACCTTTCCTAGATTGAAGCAAAGAATAGAGAGAGAAGAGTCATTTCATTCTTTATCTTAGAATCCCTAGCATCTAGCACAGTGCCCACCACATAGTAGGGACTCAATAAATGCTTGTTGATCGACTGTTTAACCTTCCCTTTGCAGGAAATCTAAATCAACTCAACAGCAAACATCATGAGATTTGCTTCTTTTTCTCTTTGTTTTTCCTTCTTCTATTTTATATTTTTAGCTCAGGATGAAAATGAAGATGAAGGGAGAATTCTTATTGACAACAAGTGTCAATGTGTCCGAGTGACTTCAAGGCTAGTTCCTTCACCAGATAATCCAGGCGAGAAGGTTGTGGAGAGAAACATTCGACTCATGTATGTAATTTCCCACATCTTAAATGAGATAATGTTAAATCAACTAATAATTATATATAATTAATATATAATATAAATAATTAAATGACAGTGATAATTGCAAAGTGCTTAGTACAGTGCCTGCCACATTGTAAGGGCTATGTAAACATTAGTTATTATTATTATTATCATCTTTGCATTCTACTTTCTGGCAAGGGGTGATGGTACTGTGATAAAAGAGGGTCAGAGGGTCAGGGGAGAAAGCATGACATACTGGTTGGAGTACTGGCCTTGGAATAAAAAAATTCAAACTTACATCTCTGTTCTGGTGCTTACTCATAGTTTGTACTCACAGTCTTTAATTGACAATGTAGAACTAAGGACTGGAAATTGTTATCGTTTAGTCGTATCTGACTCTTTGTGACTCCATTTAGGGTTTTCTTGGTAGAATTACTGGAGTGCTTTGTCATTTCCTTCTCCAGCGTATTTTACAGATGAGGAAACTGAGGTAAACAGGGTTAAGTGACTTGTCCAGGGTCACACAGCTAGGTGTCTGAGGCTGGATATGAACTCAAGAAGATGGGTCTTTCTGACTCCAGGCCTGATGCTCTATCCTCTGGGGCACCTAATAGGGTTAATCATCTAGGACAGGAGTTCACTACGTTTTTTTAATCCCCATGTCCCCTGTCTTTCACTAAAACTCCCCATCCTCTCTATACAATATCAATGAAAAGAAATTCTAGCATTTACAAGATCATGCATATGCACACAAGAAATAAAGTAGATAATTTCAGTGGGATAATAGAGTTATTTATCAAATATTCTGTTTCCACTGATCAGGATTTTGTATCATCACTGCTTGGAGACCCCTATTTGGGATTGAGCCTAAGAACAGAAATTTTAGTCCAGAATATTCATTATACTCCTGTTTATATAGTATCCCCTAAAATTAGAACGTCTTGTGTCTGTGATAGGTCAATCCTGGAGAAAAGAGAACAGAAAGCTACTGTGTTAATAATTTGAAAGCCCTTTAGGCTTGTTGCCAAGTAACAGTGGGAAAGGTGTTTTCTTTCAGCATAGCTCACAGTCTGGTAGGCAACTGAAAGTTCTGATCTGGTTCAGTCAATCCGTCTGTTCTGCCCGTGCACGGCTGATGCAACCAGACCTAGAGTTTTCAGTGGTTTGTGTGCAATGCCAGCTGAAACTTTAGATGGATGCTTCATGACCGAGAGAGAGAGAGAGAGACAGACAGACAGATAGATAGAGAGAGAGAGACAGACAGACGGACAGAGAGAGAGAGAGAGAGAGACAGACAGACAGACAGAGAGAGATAGATGGACAGCGAGACAGAAAGACAGAGGGGGGAGAGAGAGAGAGGAGGGATATTTTGATATTTTGGTTCTTCTGGCTTTTAATTTTGAGAGAAAAGATATATAATGCCAACCCTCTTTTAGGTATTGAAGAGAAAAAGACTGGGAGGCAACTGACATGGATAAGAATGCTGACAGTTTTTGGGCACAAGGATTTTTGCTAACTAGCCTGTGAACACTGTGAGGACAGAGAATATCTGAATATGGATTTGCTGAATTAATTTGTTATCGATTCCCAGCCAGGCACATCCTGCCATAGATAGTTCATGTGGAAGGCCATAGTTTTTCCTCCAGAAACGCAAGTCTTGTCTTACTCCAAATGTGGCATTCTTTCTGCTGTACTATAGATAGTAGGTCACACACTCACATCTGACGTACCATCATACTTTGTCACGGTGACCTTGCATCTACATGATGTATAATACATGTCTTAATTTGTGCAATGATCATTTCTGGAAAGTAGCATTTGTCTTTTTTTTAAATTTTATTTTATTTTTTTTAGGTAATTGGGGTTAAGTGACTTGCCCAGGGTCACACAGCTAGTACATGTCAAGTGTTTGGTCTGAGGCCGTATTTGAACTCGGGTCCTCCAGACTTCAGCACTGGTGCTGTATCCACTGCGTCACGTAGCTGCTCCAAAAGTAGCATTTGTCAAAATCAAATTTCACTATCTTGATACTTTCTCATGTTGTGATCACTTTTTTTTTGAGATTTAAAAATACTAATTTAATTTTTTATTTTCCCCAGTTACATGTAAAAACAATTTTTAACATTTGTTTTTAAAAAATTGAGTTCCAAATTCTGTCCTCCCTTCCCCTCTCCCCCTTACTGAGAATATAAGCAATTTGATATAGGTTATGTATATATATGCAGTCAAGCAAAACAGATTTCCAAATTAGTCATGTTGTGAAAGAAAATGCAGACCAAAAAAAAAAAACCTAAGAAAAATAAAGTTAAAAAAAATGCTTTGATCTGCATCCAGACTTCTTTCTCTGGAGTGAATAGCATTTTTCACCATAAGTCCTTTGGAATTGTCTTGGATTGCTGAGAATAACTAAGTTATTCGCAGTTGATCGTTATATAATATTGCTGTTACTGTGTACAATGTTCTCCTGGTTCTGCCGTTTTACTTTGCATCAGTTCATCTACGTCTTTTCAGGTTTTTCTGAGAGCATCCTACTCATTAATTCCTATAGCACAATAGTATTCCATCATAGTCATATACCACAATTTGTTCAGCCATTACCCAGTTGATGGGCATCACCTCAATTTCCAATGCTTTGCCACCACTAAAAGAGCTGCTATAAGTATTTTTGTGTATGTAGGTCCCTTTCCTTTTTGTTTTTCGTCTCTTTGGAATGCAGACCTTGTAGTGGCATAGCTGGGTCGAAGAATATGCATGGCTTTATAGTCCTTTGGGCATAGTTCCAGATTGCTCTCCAGAATGGTTGAATCAGTTCACAATTCCATCAGCAATGCATTAGTGTCTTAATTCTCCACATCCTCTCCAGCATTTGTCATCTTCCTTTTGTTATGTTAGCTAATCTGATAAGTGTGGGATGGTATTTCAGAGTTGTTTTAATTTGAATTTCCCTGATCAGTAGTGATTTAGAGCATTTTTTTTTCATATGACTGTTAGATGGTTTTGATTACTTTGTCTGAAAACTGCTTGTTCATATCATTTGACGATTTATCAATTGGGGAATGTCTCTCTTTTTTTTTAATAAATTTGACTCAGTTCTCTATATATTTGATAAATGAAGCCTTTATCAGAGAAACTTGCTGTAATTGTTTTCATAGTTATGATTACTAACTTGTATTTCCCTCTATCCCATTTCCCCCTTTTTATCCTACTCTCTCCTCTCACCCTGTCCATCCTCAAAAAATATTTTTCTTCTGACTACTGCTTTCCCTAATTAGCTGTCCCTTCTATCAGTCAGCCACCCCAACCCTTCTCTTGTCCCCATCCTCTCCTACTTTCTTGTAGCGTAAGAGAGATTTCTATACTCAACTGAGTGTTTATGTTATTCCCTCTTTGAGCCAAGTAAGGTTCACTCACTCTCCTCACCTCCCCTATTTTCTCCTCCACTGTAAAAGCTCTTTAATGTGAGATAATTTACTCCATTCCACCTCTCCCTTTCCCCTTCTCCCAGTGCATTACTCTTTCTCATCCCTTAATGTTATTTTTTCAGATAATCATCCCATCATGTACAACTCACACTTGTGCCTTTTGTCTATGTATACTCCTTCTAAGTGCCCTAATAATGAGAAAGTTTTAGGAGTTAACGTGTATCATTTTCCCATGTAGGGATGTAAACATTTTAACCCTATTGAATCCCTTATGATTTCTCTTTCTTCTTTATGTCTTTATGCTTCTCCTGAGTCTTGTATTTGACTGTCAGATTTTTTATTCAGCTCTGGTTTTTTCATCAGGAACAGTTGAAAGTTTTTTATTTCACTGAAAAATCCATTTCCCCCCTAAAAGATTATACTCAGTTTTGCTTGATTCTTTCTTATAATCCTAGCTCCTTTGCCCTTTCGAATATCATATTCTAACCCTTCTGTTCTTTAATATAGAAGCTGCCAAATCTTATTTGACCTCATGATATTTGAATTACTATTTTCTGGCTGCTTGCAATATTTTTTCCTTGACCTTCCTTGACTCTGGAATTTAACTGTAATGTTCTTGGGAGTTTTCATTTTGGTATCTCTTTCAGGAGGTGATCGGTGGTTTCTTTCAATTTCTATTTTACCCTCAGGGTCTAGAATCTCAGGGCAGTTTTCCTTGATAACTTCTTGAAAGATGATATCTTGGTTTTTTTTTTTATCATGGCTTCCAGGTAGTCTAATACTTCTTAAATGATCTCTCTTGGATCTATGTTCCAGGTTAGTTTTTCCAATGAGATATTTGACATTTTCTTCTATTTTTTCATTCTTTTGATTGTATATTGCTTCTTGATGTCTCATGGAGTCAGTAGTTTCCACTTGCCCAATTCTAATTTTTAAGGAATTATTTCCTTCAGTGAGCTTTTGTACCTCTTTTTACATTTGGCCAGTTTTATTTTTTTTTTGACCAGTTCTACTTTTTAAGGAGTTCTTTTCTTTAGTGAATTTTTGCATATCTTTTTCCATTTGACCAATTCTTCTTTTGAAGGCATTCTTTTCTTTATGGAATTTTTGTGCCTCTTTTACCATTTGGTCTATTCTGTTTTTTAAGGTGTTATTTTCTTAAGTACTTTTTTGTGTTTCCTTAACCAAACTGTTGACTCTTTTTTCATTTATTTTTTATGCATCACTGTCATTTCTTTTCCTGATTTTTCCTCTACCTCCTTTATTTGATTTTTAAAATCCTTTTTTGAGCTCTCCCAGGAATTCTTTCTGGGCATGAGACCAATTCACACTTTGAGACTTTGGTAGCAGTTTTTGACTTTGTTGTTTTCTTCTGAGTTTGTTTTTTGATCTTCCCTGTCACCATAATAACTTTCTATGGTCAGGATCTTTTTTTGTTATTTACTCATTTTCCCTGCCTATTTCTTGACTTTTATTTTTATATTGAAGTTAGGCTCTGCTCCCAGGGTGGAGGGGGCACCGTCCCAAGCTTCATGTTTTTTTGTACAGCTAGTTCTGGGGATCTGTAAACTTTCAGTTCTTCCATGGTGGTATGACCTAAGGAGAGGTGTGTTTACTACTCTCGTGGCCTGTGCTCTGGTCTGTGAGTGACCACAAGCACTCTTTTCTGCCCTGGAATTGTGGTGAGGGTCTTAGCTGTCCTGGGGCCATAAGCTGTGGTGTGCTGGTCCTCCTCCTTGCCCTGGGGCTGTGACTCAGGACTGTGACCTGGATCCAAGTGGGCAATGTAACCGAATCCTGCACCCAGTGCCAGTAAAGGGACCCCTATAATCTCCTGACCAGTTGTCTGGCCCCTTTACTGTTTGTGGATTGAGAATTCTGGAAGCAGCCCCCTCTGATTCAGTCACTCCCCAAGCCTTCTGCTGCTTTGGTGGGGCACAGCCTGTGCTCTACTTTCATCCTGGGTTGATAGAGCTTTCCTGCTGGTCTTCTAAGTTGTGTTGGGCTGGAAACTTGCTTTACCCCATCCTTTTGTGGGTTTTGCCACTCCAGAATTTGTTTTGAGGTATTATTTAAAGTTGTTTGGAGAGGGAATTTGGGAGAGCTCAAGTGAGCCCTGCTTTTTCTCCACCATTTTGGCTCTACATTGTGATAGCTTTTAAGGCCTTTCTAAAAGAGGTACAAATGTGGCATTTGAATAAGACATAGAGGATAATACAGTGTAAGTGCCAAGTAAAACTGTTTTGTTGGTGGATCAGGAAAGTATGTAATTTATTTTGTGAGCTCATTCACATTACTCCAATTATCACCATTTTAGATTATCCTAAGAGTGCTAATAGGCATCTAGGTGCTGAGCAAAAGACACTTATTTTTCCATTAAAGTGACTTTGGACGATTTCCCTCCTTCTGTAGTGTCCCCCTGAAGAACAGAGAGAACATTTCTGATCCCACTTCTCCCGTGAGAACCACCTTCGTGTACCGGCTGTCTCAACTGTAAGAACTTGTCCTTTATTTTAATTTAGAAGTTGAAGTTGATGAAAAAGAAAGATTAGAAAATTTTAAAAAATCATAACAAGGTTTTGGAAAAAATGTTGATATACAGGTAATGCAAACACAGTAGACCCTGTCCTTGACTTGTTTCTGATATACTCATGTGTCTTTGTCCCAGAGAAAAATACCACATTAAGTAGATCCTTATGGCTCCCTCACTGCAGAGGAGAGAGCTGCTGTCAGTGAAGAAAGTGCAAATATGAGTATCTGAAAGCTTTGACTTTAAACACTAAATGTAGGCATATTTGTGTGTGTTTTTTTAAAATGGCATTGCCCACTGTGCATGGTGGTGCATACCTGTAATCCTGGTTACTTACTGGGGAGGCTGAAGCTGGTGGATCATTTGAGCTTGAGAGTTCTGAGCTGCATTAGGGCTGAAACCAATCAGATGTCCACACCAAGTCAAGCACCCACTTGGTGAACCCTGGTGATCCTGAAGCCACCAGGCTGCCTGAAGAGGGATCAACTGGGCCCGGTCAAAAATGAAGCAGGTTAAAGCTCCCGTGAAGATCAGGACTGGGAACGTCCTGTGCATGATCGCTACACTTCCAATCTTGGACAGATAGGGAGGCCAAGAAAAAATATATATATGAACCTCACATAACCCAGGATATTTAATAGCCAGTATCATTTTATTTGACTTTGAGTTTCTCTGTGTTTGAGGAGTAATTGGAAATGACTCATTCAAACTGTACCAAAACTAGTCAATTCAGTTAATTTAGTGGGAAAAATTAAATCAAGGTAGTTACTTGGTGGCCTATAGACAGAGAAAACAGATTATTGAATTATTATTTTCCATTTGGTTGTTTTGGTATTGCGAGGACAGGTATAGATGAAACAGTGGTGCTAAATAAATGCCTAGCACAGTGACTGACACATGGTTGGTGCTTAATAAATACTTGTTGCTTAATTAAATAAATCCTAAATTGGCTGCATTTTATTATGATGCTGCAGAAAGCTGGAAGTTGACCTTCTGCTTATCACAGGTTTCTGCTCAGAGTTGTAGGATGCAGTGGAATTTGGATGGGAAGGTGCAATTAGGGACAGCTGCAAATGACTATTTACCCTCCACTGGGATGAGGCGGCACTCAGTGGCCAGTGTTTAATGCACGTATTTACTTTTCAGCTGTAAAAAGTGTGACCCCATCGAGGTGGAGCTGGACAATGAGGTTGTTGCTGCCTCCCAGAGCAATCAGTGTGGCGAAGACAGTGAAACCTGTTACACTTATGACAGAAACAAGTGTTACACGTCGACTGCCCCTCTTTATTTGGAAGGGCAGACCAGAATGGTGACAACAGCGTTGACGCCTGAGTCCTGCTATGCCGACTAACGTAAAACCTCCACTGACCGAAATACCTCCCTGCCTGGCGTAGAGCTCTTGCTTCCATCTTGTAACTACATTTTTATGACCCACAAGCATATGGCCACAAATACCTGTTTCTAGAGTGTTCCACATCCCATTTTTTTTCTGTCCCATTACACTGGTGTAATCCTTGGGAAGGAATTCTCTGGTAACCCATCTGTAGGGTGAGATCTCAACTTCCCTCTAGGTCCACATTCATTAAACTCAATTTTTCCCTGCGCCCACTGCTTATCCTAGTCCCCAGAAACATGAAGAATGAATTTCCTCAAATTTGTAAGTCACACAGATAAGAGTAGAGCTGATGACATCATCTTCAAGAATGACAAATTGGAAGGTACAGGAAAATGTTGATTCTCTCTCTCTCTTCCTCTCTCTCTCTCTCTCTCTCTTTTTCTTTCTCTCTCTCCCTCTCTCCCTTTGCTTTGCACATGCCAATTTATTTTGCCGAAAAGAATGCATCTCTGTGCTATTGAGGAAATACATATGCAAATATAATTGCAGCTGATGCTGTTATTAGCAATATACTAATTGGTAGATATCGATACATTTAAAAGTATTTATAGGTGTGAAAACGATATCAAATAAGATTCGCAGTGTCACATGGAACAGCTATGGACATATTTTCCCCCAAAACAAAGTGGTTGGCAGTTATGCTGTATAAATAATCAGTTTTAAAAATGATTCATTTTAGGATTAGTAATTCAGGTCACCAGACCCCATTTCTTATCCTATTTTTCTTTCTATGTAAAAGCAAAAATTCTAATTTAATGAAAAATGAATTAATATCAGAACACTGAAGTCCCTGCGTTGCCATCTGTTATGGCAAATATCTTGTGTCTTGCTTTCATCCAGGGAATGCCCTGGATAATGCAGAATTGTCTTCTTCTTCTTCTTCTTCTTCATCGTCATCATCAAAAACGTTTGAAGGATCCTCAAGTTATTTGAAAAATTCTGGTCTGAAATAATCCATGTTGTGATTCATTAATCTTTAAGCAATATGTATTTCTAGAAATGCATCCTCTAGCATTGCTTTAACAATTAAATCATTTCAGAAGCATCTGCCTGTGTGAAGCTTATCTTTTAAGGAAGAACAAATGAAGCTTCTTCTTTAATTTCTACCATATCGTACCCAGCTATCATCACTCAGCTTTTCCTTGAAGACCTACAAGGAGGAGAAACTTATCCCCTCACTGAAGTAGCTTCCTACACTTGTGGCCAGCTGTAATTGTGAGGAAGATTTTCCTGACGTTGAGCCCAAATTGGAAATTTTGTAACTTCTACAAAAAAGCAAAAGGAAGAAAAATGTAGGCAGCTGGTGGTACCGTGGATAGCGCTTGGGACTAGAGTCAGGAAGGCTTGAGTTCAAGTCCGGTTTCAGACACTTAGTAACTGTGTGACCCTGGGCAAATCACTCAACCTCTGTTTGACTCAGTTTTCTCAATTGTTATTGGAGATAATAACAGCGCCTACCTCCCAGGGTTGTTGTGAGGATCGAATGAGATGCTTGTAACAAAGTGCCTAGAATAGTGTCTGGCACATAGTAGGCATTTGATAAATGCTTATTCCCTTCCCCCTTCTTTCTCCTCCTTTTTTTCTCCCTCTGGGGCCAAAGAGAACTAATCTGTTCCCTCCTCCCCGTGACAGCTCTACCAAGAATAAATGAGCATACACTTTATTACAATACCTAGACACATCAGTAGGGTTTTGCCCATGGCAAAATGTTGCATCTCTTCTCCTATTTGTATGTTGTCTTTTTTATCGTGGGTGCCTGGTACATAGTAGAAACTTAATAAATTCCTATTTATTGATTGATTGATGCCCTTGATTCAATTAGAGGCTTGTAAAAAGTCATGTATGACCTCATACTTGGAAAACTGTTACTCAGTAAAATGTATCTTTAACTTAGGGAAAAGGAATTCAAACTTCATGTGTGTTGGTAGGTGTCCCAGCTTCAACCTGAGGTGGCAGCAGCAACAGCAGCCTATTCTGACTCATATCTTGACTTTCATAAGCCTCCAGAAAGGCAGCATGGTGGCACACACCTTTAATACTTGCTCAGGGACAGGCCCAGGCTGGTGGGTCACTTGAACTGAGGGTTCTAAGGGTTTCTGAGCTGCAGTAAGGCTAAAATCTGATTGGATGCCCACAGTAGGTCTGGCATCGAGATGGTGAGTCCCTAAAAGCAGGGGACCATCAGGCTTCAAGAAGAGAGGTGAACTGGCCCAGGTTGGAAAAGAAGCAGGTCAAAGCTAACATGAAATCAACAGTGGGGTGAGGCCCTTGAGAGGATGCTGTATTTCTTTCTAGCTTGGGTGAGATAGGGAGAGCCAGTCTTAAAAAAAAAAAGAAAGGAAAAAGAAAGAAAGAAAGACAAAAGAAAAAAAAAGATCATTTTACCATTAACCAGAAATGGACTGTGATTGATAATTTTGGCTTCCAGGTGGTTCTGTACCCCAGCTACTAGCCTAGCTGTCCCTTTAGGATCTTGTTGACAGATGCACATAAAAGTTCTCTAGATATCTATGTGTCAGCAGCCCAGCTCTGCCAAGATATTAGTACCTAAAACTTGACATGTCCCAAACTGAATTTATTGTCTGATCTCCAGATTTGCTCCTAGTCTGGCCATTGACTTCATCATTTCTCATTTATCAATGTATTATCGATCAATCAACAATCAATGAATAAGCATTTACTTTTATTTTCTCTCTCCCTCACCAATTAGTCACCAGAATCATGAAATTTGAGTGTTTGAAGTACCTCAGTAGCAATTAAGGAGATTCTGTACCTGAAGCAAATCTCTCCCATATTATACCCAACACGTGATAATTTAGCTTTCGCTTGAAAATCTCCATAGAGGGAGAATCCATTGGCCCATGAGGGGGCTTCACCTACTTGTGGCCAGCTCTATTCATTAGGAAGATTTTCCTGACATTGAGTCTAAATCTGACTTTTTTGCAGCTTCCATTCATGGCTCCTTGTTTCTCTCTTTTGGACAAATGGAACAAAACCAATCCCTGCTTCATGCAATGGCCTTTGTTTTCCTTGAGTCTCTTTGTCTTGAAATTAGACATCCCAAGTTCCTTCTACTGATTCTCCTATGACCCAGATTAACAGTCCTCCACCATCTTGGTTTTCTTCTCTGGTTGCTCTCATCTTACCAGTGTCCTTCCTAAATGGCAGCCCCCCAAACTGAACACAATATTCAAGGTGTTGAATACAAGGCCCTGACCAGGGCGTTGTACAGAGGGACAATTTCCCTATTCTTGGAAGCTATGCCTCTCTTAATGCACCTTCCTCTCAGCCTGACCTTCCACCACCAACTGCCTTTTGGACATCTTGAACTAGATATCTGGTGGACATCTCAAAACGAACATGTCCCCAAATAAACCAATTGTTCTTCCCTCTAAACCCTCCCCTCTTCCCAGTTTCCCTATTACTTCTTTCCCTCTAAGAGTGAGGGGCCATCAGGCTGTCTGAAGAGGGGGAAGAGTGAGTTTTTTTTCCTGTTAATTCTTCCCCCTTTCCCTATGATTTCCTCTCAAGGGCACCAACATTCTCCTAGTCACCCAGGCTCCCAAACTCAGCATTCTCACACTCATCCCACACGTCCAATCTGTTGCCACGTTTTATCATTTCTACCATTACAACATCTTCTGTATATGTCCCTTTTTTCCACTCACACTGCCCCCACCCTGGTGAAGGTCCCCCATCACCTCATACATTGATAATTACAACAGCTGCTGATGGGTCTGCCTGCCTCAAGTCGCTCCCCATTCCAATCCTTTCTCCATTCAGCCACCAAAGTGATTTTCCTAAAGTGCACGTCACCTCCTTATGCAAATGACTCTCTGTTACTCCAGGATGAAATATATATCCTCCGTTTGGCTTGACCTCCTCTCACATTTCCCATCTTCTTATGCTTTACTTTCCTTTATGTTCTGTATGACCCAGGGCCATTGGCCTCCTGAATATTCCTTGCACACAACACCCTGTCTCCTGACACTGGGCCTCTTTACTGGCCCTTCTCCATGCCTGGACTCCTTCCTCTCCTTGACTGCACCCCTAGGCTTCCTTGGCTTCCTTTAAGACTCATCTCAGATCCTTCCTTTTGGAAGAGACCTTTCTGAATCTTCCCTCCCCCTTCCCTCAAGTCTCCACTCCCACTTTCTGAGATATCTTCAATTCATCCTGCATATGTTTTGTGTATAATTAGTTGATTTAGAATGTGAGCATGTGAGCAATGTGAGCATGTGAGCTCCTTTAGGGCAGGAACTGGTTTTTTAATTTTTATTTTTTTTCTATTCTCTGTATCCCCAGTGCTTAGCACAGTGCCTGGAAGATAGTAATCAGTTAATAAATTCTCAGTGCCTGACTGACTTATTGGTTGCTGTATCCCACTGCTGACTTACATTGCTTCCAGACCTGTTTTCAGACAAACTGCTGTCTAATCCAGTCTCTCCCATCCTTCCCTTGTAAAATTGTTTTTGAGCTTGTACGGTAAGAACAGTACCTACAAGGCCCTGACACGGAGCATGTGTCCTGTCTACCCCATGCATCTCCTGGATATGATCCTGGAGACTTAATTGGCCTCAGGGACCAAGGCTGGAACCACGGATGTAGCTTCCTGCTGACCTAACTGCCAAAAGCCAGAGCATGGGGAGTCAAAGTCTCCTCCCTTGGGCTTGACAGAGGCGCACCAACATGGCCAACTCAGAAGCAGAAGAGAAACCACACCCAATTGAATCAATGCTGTATGCTCGCTGAATAACCTTTCCATGCTGTGACTGAGTCAACTTCCTTTTATTAACTTACTAGATAGCTTATGAATGTCTCATCTTGTGCAATTAGGGCATATAGGTAGTACAGTGGATACAGAGCTGAGCCTGGGGTGAGGAAGACCTGAGTTCAAATCTAGCCTCAGACCCTTACTAGCTCTGTGACTCTGGGAAGGTATTAAATCTCTGTTTGCCTCAGTTTCTTCATCTGTAAAATGGAGATAGTAATAGCACCTACCCCCCAAGGTTATTATGAGGATCAAATGGGACAATAATTTAAGGTGATTAGTGTAATGTCGGGAACACAGTAAGCACTGAATAAATGTTAGCTATTATTTTTAAATTTCTTCTTGAGTCTGAATCACCAGGCTGGTTTGAGTCATGCCTGGCCTACTACCACAATTATAAGATTTTGCATTAAGATTTAGGAACTGGTCAACTCACTGGCCTATAGTTTGTGGACTTTATTTCTTTTTCTTTTTTGAAATTATATTCTCTTGCCTCTTCCTTATTGACTGAATGGCTGGACCCAAGGAGTAGTTGTTAATGAGTCAATGTCAAGTTGGTAGAAAGTCTCCAGTGGAGGGTCTCAGGAAACTGTATTTGGACCTATGTCTTCTAGCATTATTGTCAATGCCTTGGAAAAAAGCATGGCTGGCATGTGATAGAGGCAGGCTTACTGTCAACACTCTCTTAGTTAAGGTTCAATGTTGGGATGAAATGAGACACTCATGAGTCATCGAACAGTTAACAGAAGGAGGTTTCCTTTGCCCTAATGCAGCAAGGATATAGTAACAGAACCTCTCTGGGAGGTAGCTCCTCTACTTTGTCTTCATATGGAAACATGTCTGCTCAGCAGGGCAGGGTATGGTGACTTGTGTGGTCTACAGAAATTCGCCATCAGACCCTGACTGTACATAGACACAACTTTTTATGTCCTTGGGTGGCCAGGACACTATGTCAAGGGATATTGTGGCTATTCAAAATTCAGGGATAACTTTTTTTGCCTTCCAGGGAAAACTAATCCACATTAGGGGAAAAGGGAGAAACCTTGGCCCTAATATAGTATGCTAATCAAATTTGCTGATGACCCGAAGGTGGAAAGGATAACTAACACCCTGTCTGATTGACTCATGGACCCGAAAGATCCTGGCAGGCTAGAACATTGGACTGAGTGGATATAATAAGATGAAATTCAACCAAGATAAATATTTTCTAGGCCTCAAAAAAATCCACTTCCCGAGTGAAAGATGGCTAGATAGCAGCTTGTTTGAAAAAAAAG